GGAGTGACGCGATCTTGCCACGTGGCAGGCCCCGGTTGGCCGGGACTGCTGACCGGGCCTGCTGACGTGGCTGCTGACGTGGCCCCCCCCCTTTTTTTGTGTGTTTTTTTTTTTTCCCTCCTCCTTTCCGGGTGCTACATCTGGAATTAATTATGCAAATTAGGATAGATGAATACGCAAATACTATGATTAAACTAACAATTTCAAATTATTCAATTTAAAAGATGAAGAAGGAAATTTTTTTTATTGCAAAGATCTGTGTGATCCTATTAAATTAGTAACTACTAAGCCAATTGAAAAATCAGAAGATGATTGGGCGAAAATGCACAAAAAAATTGTTGGAACCATTTGACAGTGGGCGGATATTAGTATCTATCACTATATAAGTAAAGAAGTCAATGCATAGGATTTGTGAAAAAACTTGGAGAACATGTATGAAAGAAAAAATGCTCAAAATAAAGTTTTTGTTATCAAAAAATTGGTGAATCTGAAGCTGTGAGATAGACAGTCAGTAGTAGAACACTTAAGTGAGTTCTAAGATTTGATAACTTAATTAAATATTATAAAATTAACCTTAAATGATGAAATGCGAGTATTATTACTTTTGAGTTTGTTGTCAAATAGTTGGAAAACTTTGGTGTGTCTCTTTATAACTCTGCTCCAAACGGTGTTTTGTATCCAGAAGGAAAGATATGAGCATTGATACATCACATGCCTTTGTCACAGAGAGCATATGGGTAAAAGTAAAAGTAGGGATCTTAAATGATGCAATAAAGAAAAATTCAGTTGCCTTTGTCATAGAGAGCATGGGTAAAAGTAAAAGTAGGGATCTTAAATGATGCAATAAAGAAAAATTCAGTTGTTATCATTATGGTAAGGAAGAACATATGAAACAAAACTATAGAATTTAGAAAAATGAACAAAATAATCAGAACACAGCAGATGATTAGAGTACCATAACAGCTGTAATTGATATTGAAGAACTGGTTGTACTTTTTTTATTGAGGATCATGATCATGTTATTGATTTTTATACTAAGTGGGTTGTTGATTCAGCAGCGTCCTACCATACTACACCTAGGAGGGATACCTTTACTATGTCTAAAGCAGAAAACTTTGACATAGTGAAAATGGATAATACCAATTATGTAGATATTGTGGTATTGATGAGATTTGTGTGCAGAGAGATGTTGGTTACACATTGACTTTGAAAAATGTGCGACATGTGCCTGATTTACGCCTAAATCTGATTTCTACACATGCTCTAGATCTTAATGGTTATTATAACTCATTTGGTGATAGAAAATGAAAACTTATCAAAGGTTCAATTGTAGCTATAAGGAGTAAACTGTGTCACACACTGTACAAGACTCAAGTGAAGACAATTAGAGATACTCTGAATGTAGTAAAAAAAATATTTTATCAGATTTGTAGCATAAGAGGTTGGCTTATATGAGTGAGAAAGAATTGTAGATTCTGCTAAAGAAGTCTCTCATTTCTTTTTCCAAAGGTACGAGTTTAAATTCTTGTAATGATTATTTATATGATAAGCAACATAGAATATCTTTTAAGTAGTTTTTCTGAAAGAAAAATGAATGTATTTGACTTAGTCTATTCTGATGTATGTAATCCCATTGATATGAAATCATTAGGCGTTAGTAGATACTTTGTTATATTTATTGATGATGCTTTAAGAAAAGTTTGAGTGTTTTGTTTTGAAGAAAAAAGATAAAGTTCTACAGTATTTCAAACAGTTCCATGCTATAGTAGAAAAAAAAAACATTTTTAAAGAGTGTTTGCAGTGACAATAGTGGCGAATATACTTCAAAAAGTTTTAAAAATTACTATTTACCATACGAAATTAGACATAAAAAGACTGTTCCAGGTACTCTTCAACACAATGGTATTGCTAAAAGAACAAATAGAACCATTCTTGAAAAGATCATATGCATATTAAAAATGACTGATTTACCAAACCATTTTGGAGTGAAGCACTCTACATTGTCTGCTACTTGATGAATCAATCTCTATAAACTCCTTTAAATTTTGATATTCTTAAAAAAGTATGATATGGGAATTATGTAAGTTATTCTTATTTGAAAGTTTTTTGCTGCAAAACATTTATGCATATACCTAAGGAGCAAAGACAGAAGCTTGATGATATGACAGTTTCATGTATTTTTCTAAGTTATGGTTATATAAAGTTTGAGTACAAGTTATGGTATCTAGTGAAGAAGAAAATCATCAGGTCTAGATATATAATTTTTTATGAATACATGATCCTATTAGATTTTGAGATATCTGATAAGCCTACAAGTGAAGAGATTTACTTTCTTGCATTGATTCCTCCTACAATCAGACAGTAATGAAGGGATGAAAGTGATTGTGTGTCAGCATCATTAAATATAAATGATAATATTGAGTAGAGAGAGTAGCCCCTCAGATTATTGAAAAACCTTTGGTTAGAAGGTCAAACAGAACAAATAATTTATCTACCAGATATCCAAATTTTGGATATATATTATAGTTATTGAAGAAGGGGAGTCATAGAGCTTTCAAAAAGTACATAATGAAACAAAAAATGAGTTCTCTGAAGAAGATTCAGACTGATCTAGTTAATGTAGTAAATAAAATTCGTGACAAGCATCAATTCTGTATTAAGTCATGGAGATTGAGTAAAAATTAAGTAATAGATGAGTGGATACGGTAGGAGAAGTAGATTGTTAAGATCTAACCTATTGAATAAAAAAATGACAAATCAGTCCTTCAAAAAGAAAAGAAAAGAAAAAACTAGAACTGCAGCTCATATATATATATATATATATATATGTATGTACGTTGCACGATCAAGCAAAAAGAGAAGAAAAAATTCAAAAAAAGAGTGATTGTGCATAAGAAAGAGAGAGAGAAGAAAAAGAAGAGATAAAAAAAGAGAAAAGAGAAATAACTTGTATATATATCTGGAACAGTGGTAGAGTGACGGCCAAGAGAAAAGAAAAGAGGAACGGTTCTCATTTTCTCTCCCCATCAGTGACATCATTGATGAAGGAATGTTTAAATTTGATTTTTTTGTTTGCCTTTTTTTTTTCAAGTTATGCACAAACAAAAATTATTTTTCTTTGGTTCCGAATTTAAGTTTTAGTGGATTATTTATAATGAATTTAATTTAGAGTTTGATTTATATATATATATATATTTTTTTTTTACTTTGAAAGATTTTTTATTTAAAATCTCGTCTTTATTTAATTTTAATGTTATTATTTATTTATTATTTTTATTCGATTATATATTAATTTAATTTAAAATTATTATTATTAACTCATGTGAATTAATTTAATATTATTTTAATTTATAAAATTAATTATATTCTTATTTGGGAACCAACACTTTTTACACAGGAGGAAACCCAAACTCAGCATAATATAATACATATATATGACAAAATTAATCATAAATATTCATTGAAAGGAAGCAGACCAGCTAGAGCCCTGAGGGATACATATATATATATATATATATATGTATGTATGTATGTATGCAACTTGAGATGGTAAAAAGAATGTAAAAGAAAAATGCTAGGAAAATTGATGTAAAAGTTTGGTGACAATGGATAGAATATATGTCATTGTTACATGGTGATATTTCCTTTCCTTTTTTTTTTTTTTTATATACAGAAAATTAATTTCAACAAACTTATTAAAATTGGTGATTGATTTTCTTAAACTAAAATTTAAATTGAAAAGAAAAACTTAACCTATTATTTTGTATTATTCTCTAATTTCGTATGCTTATGGGGAAAGGGAAAATATTAATTAAGTATATAGATTTTTTTTTTGACTAAAATTTAATAACGACTAGTCAGTAATAACCAATAAATGTATAAAATCTCACTTCCAATCCTATGAAGACACTAAGTATGAGAGAGTATTAAATTTGGCACAGAATTAAACCCAAAAATTTAATGGTAATTAAGAGTTCAAATAGAAAGAAATTTGACTACCTTTTGGATAAACCCAATAGCAATAACAAGGTCATCATAGTATTTGGTTATAAAAACTTGGAGTATGATATTATATATAACAATAAAGTTATTCTTATTTAACTATAATTATGTTGTAACTCAGTCCCAATTTTTTCACTAAAATTTAATATTTGACTAAATCGTTTTAAAATGAAATTTCTTAATTTTATTTTTTGTTACATTAAAGCAAATGTTTTTCATACCTTATTTGGGTACATAAAAGTGTGAATATATGATTTAAAAATTATACTCATACTTTATGCATGATGTAAATAAGATATATTAATTTTTGTTAAATTTATTAAACTTTAATGATCATGAGTTGCCTATTATAATTTTCAAAATATTACATATAAGAGATAAAAATATGAAAAAACAAAAAAAAAACAAAAAATTCTGTCAAAATTTATATATATATATATAAATTGGCTGTTCAATGTATATATATATATATATTCAATTCATATGTTTCGTTTATATATATTATATTATATTATAAAGATGAAAATTTATTTCTTAAGGAATTTTATTTGGAAATGGATTCCATTTCTTGTTCATTAATCTTGTTGGCAATCAGAAAAAACTAAATTTTGTAAATGGATAAGCGCAAATAATTGGTCAGAAACCAACTATAAAATGCATGCATATATATACATATATATATATATATGGTTATATGTATAATTATTTGAATAAGTTAGGTTAAGGACACAAAAGAGGTGATATAGTTTTAAACCAAAACATATAAAGGTTGTTGACGAAGTATTAGATGATTCATGAGATTTACCACCCATGTTCAACAACTTTATCTTCACCATGTTTATTATAAGAAACAAATCTTCTTTGTGGATAAAGTATATTGATTTCAGGATTATTATTTTCTTTTGAAAAAAGAAGAAAAGAGAGAAGAACTCATGGGAGGAGATCATAATGAGAAGAAACAGATACTTTCCTTGTTTTGTTCAGAAGATGGAGATAAGATGAGAATATGGTGGGTGATATTTTGCATGATAATATCATGGGTATTTATTCACAGATGGAGCCAGAAGAAGAAGAAAGGTCCAAAGACATGGCCTCTGGTAGGAGCAGCAATAGAACAACTCATCAACTATGATCGAATGCATGATTGGCTTGTTAATTATTTGTCTCATTCAACAAGTGTTGTAGTTCCAATGCCATTCACAACATATACTTACATTGCTCATCCTGCAAATGTGGAACATGTTCTTAAAACAAATTTTGCTAATTACCCCAAGGTAAATTTTAATAATCCCAGTTAAAAAAAAAATTCCTTAAAAAACTTTTTTGATGAAAATATTTATGTATTTGTTGATTCAATTGAAGGGTACAACTTATCATTCATATATGGAGGTGCTGTTAGGAGATGGGATTTTTAATGTAGATGGAGAGCTTTGGAGAAAACAAAGAAAAACTGCTAGTTTTGAGTTTGCATCCAAGAATTTGAGAGATTTCAGTACTATTGTTTTTGGAGATTACAGCTTCAAACTCTGTCAAATTCTAATTCAAGCATCTTTTCAAGATCAACAAGTAGACATGCAGGTTATTAAGTAACTCTTCTCATCTCTATACTTTTTTTTTTTTTTTTCTTTTTCTTTTTTTCTTTCCTAAATAAATATGTTTTTTGTTTGGTTGGTGACAGGAATTGTTGATGAGGATGACTCTAGACTCCATATGTAAGGTGGGATTTGGTGTAGAGATTGGAACTCTGGCTCCGAATTTACCAGAAAATAGTTTTGCTCAGGCATTTGACACTGCAAACATTGTTGTCACACTTCGCTTCATTGATCCTCTTTGGAAGCTAAAGAAATTTCTTAATGTGGGTTCAGAAGCTTTACTTGAAAAGAGCATTAAAGTGATTGATGATTTCACTTACTCCGTCATAAAAAGAAGAAAAGCTGAGATACAAGAGGCGCGAGATACATGTAATGACAAGGTATTCAATTATGTGATACGAACTCGATTCCCCTGCCCTCTCGGGAAAAAACTTACCTCGTGTCATATATTGCAGATAAAGCATGATATTCTGTCAAGATTTATTGAATTAAGCCAACGCCCAGAAAACAATTTAGGTGAAAAAAGCCTCAGAGATATTGTCCTCAACTTTGTGATTGCTGGGAGGGACACAACTGCAACAACTCTTACGTGGGCAATCTACATGATAATAATGCATGATCATGTAGCTGAAAAGCTTTACTCGGAGCTCATAGCTCTTGAACAAGAACAAATAAATGAAGGGCAGGTGCCACTGGTTGACTATGACAAAGAGGATATTGAATCGTTCACCCAGAGGGCAACACAATTTGCAGGACTCTTGAACTATGATTCACTTGGTAAACTGCAATATTTGCATGCTGTGATCACGGAAACACTCCGTTTGTATCCTGCAGTGCCTCAGGTATAGATATTCTCCTGTCATTTTCACTTTATCCATAAACAAAGGCAAACATCCGATGGGGGATTTGGTGAATTCATGAACAAAAGATTTTCAATTGCAATTAATGTAATGAAATTGGGATTTCAGGACCCTAAGGGAATCTTGGAGGATGATGTTTTACCAGATGGAACCAAAGTAAAAGCAGGAGGAATGGTTACTTATGTTCCCTACTCAATGGGTAGGATGGAATACAATTGGGGTCCTGATGCAGCTTCATTCAATCCTGACAGATGGCTCAAAGATGGTGTCTTCCAAAACGCATCTCCCTTCAAGTTCACTGCTTTTCAAGTATGTTATTGCATATATTTCAACAAGGAAACATTTCACAGTTAATTCTTCTTTGCATCCCTACAAATCCTCGGAGTTAGACACAGAGGTGCCTTATCACTTGTTATGCTATATGACCCTTTGCAGGCCGGACCAAGGATATGCCTCGGAAAGGATTCTGCGTATCTCCAGATGAAGATGACTCTAGCTATTTTGTGTAGATTCTTCAAATTCAATTTGGTACCAGGTCATACAGTGAAGTATAGGATGATGACAATACTATCAATGGCTCATGGGCTGAAGCTCACAATCACCAGACGTGGTTAGATGCTTATGGTGTTCGATGGTATAAGTATAGATCATTAACAGTTGCTGGCTCTTGTCTTAGGTGTAACCAACTGACTACATCCATCCCCTGGCTATAATCCTTGTTAATAAACTGATTTGTGTGATTTATCTACATGTTTACCTATCCCTAACCAATAAGTGGTCCATGTGGAGAGGAGAGAGATTGGTAAATGATGATACATATATGATATATGCTGTCAAATCTCTTGCTGTTCATGAAATGCTTGTTCAAATGGAAATTGAATCCTAATCCATGAAAATGGGCAAATAGAAACTGCTATTTGACATAATTTATTTTGATCAATTCTATTCCCTGGAATATAATGAGAAATTAGCAAATCTATTAACAAGTATAATGCTTATCCAAAGAAGACCAAGAAAGAAGACTATAATTTATTTCCACGAAAGATAAAACCCAAGAAAACCGACAGAGGAAAGCAGCCAAGGACCCAGATCTTACATCCAAAGACAAAAAAAAAAAAAAATACAATATATTATAGCAACCAAGAATCCGATGATGAAAACTAGAATAAGATAACTCCCAAACAGCACAAACTCTGCAGAGGAGATGTTAAACAGAGCAAGATATATCTGGATTTTTCGAAGAAAGATATATGGGTTCAATTTGTATTTAGAGGAGAAGTAAAGGGTCATGAATTTTATTTAGATGAAGTTAAAAAGAATATATACATAAATATAGTATATGTATAAAGCACAATGAAACAAGGAAGCTATGAGAAGAGTTTATTTTTAGTTGTTTTCAGGTTCCATGAAGGGTGTCGATTAATATAAATTGATGAATAACGTTGAGAGGGAAACTTTGTCCAGCTAAAATCCCTCTAAAGGAATTTGATTGGCCGGCAAAAAGGATTAAGTGTAAAGAAATGGAAAAATGTTGAAAGAAAATGTACTGCCCAGATCAAAAACCCTAAAATAAAGGGTTTAGATTTTTTTTTCTATTTAAAAATTGGGGACAGCTGGTAGTCTTAGTCGATTCTAGAGACCACCCTCACCCTCATCCTTATATATATATGTGTATATACTCCCAATGTCCCACTCAAATAAATGTTGTAGCAGAGAATTAAAGAGTATTAAATACTCGTTATTCACACGGTTGAGTTTTTTACATGGTATCAGAGCAGTGCCTGTAATAAATAAATATTGATTCTTCTTATTTTTACATTACAATGTTACCCTACTGCTCAATGGCAAATCCTAATACAGATGTGTTGATACTCCTAAACTCAGACCAGCCTGGAATGCAACTTGTCACAACTACACTTGATGGCTCCAACTCCTTGTCTTGGAGCTGAGCCATGGTGATTGCGTTGAGAGCCAAGGACAAGTTCGCCCTCGTCGATGGCAGATGCAAAAAGCCCAAACCTGATGCAGTAGAATATAAACAATGGCACAAAACAAACAGCATGGTGGTGTCTTGGATCCTGAACTTGATGGTGTCTTGGATCCTGAACTTGATGAACAAAGAGTTCGCTAGCTCCTTCCTGTTCACCACATCAGCAAAAAACATGTGGGATGAAATAAAAGAAAGGTAAGGTGAAAGCAACATACCTCTGTTATATCAATTAAAACGTGAAATAAGTTCTATCACGCAATCTAACCTTTTTGTCACAGCCTATTGTACAAAACTCAAAAAGCTATGGGATGAGTTAACCCACCTATTGTTCTTACCTGCTTGCACCTGTCATGCTGCAATACAACACAGTGAAATAGACAATACTGACAACTTAATCTAATTTCTAATGGGTCTTAATGACTTATACGACCATGTCAGAAACCAAATATTAATCATGAAGTCCTTACCCGGTGTGAATAGATCTTATTCTATGGTGATTAGTGTTGAAAAATAAAGAAAAGTACACAATAGTAACTTACCTTGGGGAACACCCATTGCATTTTACACAAACCTAAAAGATAATCCAAAATTCCCAAACTGAAAAAAGGAGAAGGACAGCAGGACATGTACTTATTGCAAAACATAGGCACACAAAGGATATATGCTTTCAAGCTCCATGGCTACCCAGAATAGTTTACATAACTCAAAGGGAAAAAAAACAAAGAAAAAGCCAATGGGGGTGGTAAACAATGCCACTGATAGCACCAAAACAGAAGCATTCA